AGTTAACATTTTTAGTAGGTTTGATACATTTTCTTTCCAGTATGACATTTCCAATGAAAAACTGTGCTGCAGTGTTTGGAAAGTGATGCTTTTGTTCAGTATTTCCTTAGGTGTTAATCCCCACCAGTAAACACAGGTAATAAAACCACAAAATCTTTCCAGTAAAGTTGACTGAATCCTCTTTCTATTCTCTAAATTAGGCTGTTTTTTCACATTACACACAGAAGTAAAGTTTTAAAAAATATCACTGCTGCTTTATTTGCTCTGGTACATTTGCTCTATCTAACCTCGAACAGTTGGATAGCTGCTGGCCAGCAACCTCCTTGCTTCTGTTCAGGATGTTGGGACATCATTAGTATGCTCAGATAATGATGGGGAATGCAACAGGATACAAAGGGATGATGTGGATTAAGGAAAGATGAATTATAGTGTCCTCTTTGTTGTAGGCAGGAGCAATGTCTTGTGGGACCACATGGGAAATGTCCCTTTCCTCCTCATTTGCCTGTGCAGTAATTACAGGTTTGTCCTCATAACCTTAGTGTTTAACCATAGTCTACAGGCAGACACGAAAAAAGTAATATTTGAATAATTTTCCTACAGAAAGTAGCTATTTCCCCCATGCTATCTTATATCACTACCACTTTCTCCTGTCTTCCTGCTTGTTTAGAAAACAAACCAAACTCAGGTTTAAATTGGAACCTTGTAAAGCTCTTCCAGCAGTCTTTTTCCTCTGCTCTCTCCACCCCTAACATTTCAATCTGGAATTATGTTTTTGTTTTTCTAGCCATTAACATTTTGCAACTGCTTACATGACCTTCTACACCAACATCTTGAGCTGTTCCCTGCAGAGTGGCTGATAGAGCAGACAGTGTGTGCCTATTGCCCTCCCATCTCCCACTGCTGTTCCCATTCGCTGCCACTCACCTTCTGTTCAGCACAGTGACAGGTTGAAGTCAGAGGGAGCTCTGGAGTAAAGTAACTTCCCCCACGTAGACTGTTGTGCCCTCTCATTTAGCCATCACACTTTCAGGCAGAGCTGGCATTTGCCTAATACTTATTTCTGTTATCTGTAAGTACCTCTTGCCCCAGACTTTACAGTTTACAGTAGGCAGAAGAACCAGTGCCCATGGCTGAAATCCTGATCAAGAAGCGTTAACCTTGTTCAATGAGAATTATGTTAGTGTTCTGCACCTCAAATGACAGAGAAATGAGTAACCTTATGAACAATAAACTATATTTCTTCCTCCTGAATTAGTAACACGACTACCATGATGTGGGATCATGGGGTGACATGAATAGATCTGAAAAGTCATACTGGACTTCTGTTTAAACAGTTCAGTTTGGTTTGGGATTTTTTTCACTATCAAACAATTGCAGACATCATGTTTACACTAGCAATGAAATTTCTGTTTTGCTTCCTTTGAGATTTCAAAAAGTTAGAAAACAATCCCAAAATAATTCTGGAATTGGCATGCCCAAAACTACCATGGATCACAGATCCTGGTTTGCACTGATTTAAATGACTGGTATATCACAGCAGTTTAAGCCACTATAATGGCTTAACCAGTCCCTGTTATCTCATTGCTCTATGTCCTTCTCAGTGATAGAATAAATCTGTGTTCCACACCAAGCAGTAGAGGTTGCATTAGTGAATGAATTATCTGCTTGAGGCAGTATGTGCATTTCCACGTGAATTCTGTAATTCTCTATTTTTCATAGGAGTTGTGCAGGATCCCCACCTGGTATACTTTACAGATCCTTCACTCAAATAGACTAGTCATTACTAACCTTTATTTCACTCATTATCACTTTTATGTCATTTAGAGACAATATACTCTCAGTTTTGCTAGAGGTTCTTTTCACAAATAGCATGTGGGCTGATAGAGCAATTCATCATAGGAGAGTGCTTCTGATGGTAGCACGTAAATATACTAAGAGTTTCCAAATATGTAATGGCTCATAAGGAAAATATGCTACTACTTCAAATGATTCCAATAATTAAAAGATATCAACATGATGATCTACCTTAATATCAGTGACTTGGAAATATCCATACCATGTCCTTTCTTATAGGATAAAGCAGAGATATAGGGCAGAGAATTTACATGCTGGTAGGGTTTTGTTAAAGAAAGTTTCCAGTGTAAAGATTGGATTAAATATAAACATATTCTAAATCTTCCTGCATATTTGTATCTAGATTATAAATCAGACTGGTCTTAGAGGTGAATCATCTATATATTTTCGAGAGGTGAGCACCCTGAAAATATCAAAAGGACTTTGAATTTCATAGTACAGGTTTTCTTAGTTCAAATATTAGAATTAAACATCTGGGTTTCTCTGTTTCAGAATTTCTGGTGAGTAAGACAAATAAAAAATTAAATTAGTAGAGGAACAATTTTGCTATTTCTGCATGCTGTATCCCAGCATACATGGGGCATCAGCTCCTTCCTTCAACCCAAGAACTTCCAGTTCTGCAAGAAACACTGGGCAAACTCCATGCCAGTTCAGCAACTTTTCTATTACTGGTCAGCAACTAGATCTGTGTCTACCCTTTAGTCTTCTCAGGAGTTCATTTCTTCATCTACCTTGGACTTCTTGATACATCTTATTCTGTCCCTCACCTGTACTGCAGAAGCTTTTTCGTCATTGCTCTGAAGATGAAAAAAAACATGGTTTCCCATTTCATTCATAAGGTCCTATCTGAGTCAAAAGCATCACTGAGGATAATCCCAAAAACCTTACTCCCCAGTGCACATTTTCTCTAGGTGAATATGTAAAGCCTCTTGTATTACCAGTGCTCCCCTTTCAAAGAGCTGTGGGAAAAGAGGAGGGGTCGAGAATAAGCAGCATTAATCAGCAGAGGAAACTTGGCCTTTCTCACACAAACTCAGTTTCAGACAGCTGACTGGGCAAACCAGAAGGTAAACAGTTCCCTCCCAACAGTGCAGGTGAATGGCTCAAGCCCCATGGGAAGCAGGGTGTGCCTTCACTATGCCAAGAGCAAGTCACTCCAGTGCAGGTAGGTCTGTGGGATGTTGCAGTGAAGGTTTTCATTACAGATAAGGTCACAACATGATTCTTCCTACCACTCTACATGGCTCTGGTTAGCTACATGCCTCCTACGCCTTTTGAAGGGCCTTGAGGCTTAGTCAGTCCTCCAATTATTTATCCAAGTCATTAAGGGGTAGACTGCTACAGAACTGCTATGTTTATCATTTATGTCAGTGCTGCCTAGGGATGCCAACAACTCCTCAACACAATATTCTTACTGATTAGAACACAGCATCCATCCTTTTGACATAACGCTCAACGCAGCAGGTCATTCTATGTTTGTGCTTCATTCATTTAGTTTGCTATAATTTCCCTATGGAACAGCTGGGATTTCATGTTATATTTTAAGGAACACACCTTTTTTTTCTCTAATCAAAAAAAGCCCTGGTCTATTATTTACACAGACTGACGCAGTTCTGTTTTCCTGCACATGAAATCAGGGCCAGTGCCTCTGTGCTTCCTGCAGCAAAGTGAAGTGGAGGTGACTGTGAGCACTATCAAAAATAATGTCAAAGTGATACTGCCAACAGCAGAGACAAGGTATAATCACAGGAGAGGAGGAGTCAAAATGAGAGACACCAACAAACAACCCCCCTATCTTACTCATAACAAATGGGGGTAGGAAAGAGAAAATCCTTTTTCCCATTTTGGGAGTTTGAGACTCCTTTGACCAGATGTTCATAGCTGAAATGAAGCCCCTACCAAAGGTCCAGGTAGGGAATATAGCTGAGGATCTTCCTTCAAGAGCAAAGTAGCTATAAAATAGCTGAACTCTCTCAGTGTTTGTCACTGACATATTTCTTAACCGGTTTTACTTTTTATCACTTATAATGCCTTCTAGGCATTTATAACAGCAGTTTACCCTATTTCCAAATTGCTGAGGAAAGATTCTGGTATATGATATCTCTGATTCTGATTTCCTTTTGTTCTGTCCAAGTAACTCTTAGACCCTTCAAAACTGCAAGAGTTTAAATAAAATGGAGTTATTGTTCAGAGGAAGAAAAATTACCAGGGCAAGCCTCTGTGGGATTTCTTATAAGGTGAAGAAAATTTAGTGGTATCCATATAGGATAAAGAGAAATACAAAAACAGGTCTATGAACTACTCTTCATCTGCTGTAAACAACTTTTAAGGAGTTTAACTGAATTAGCAATGATAAGTACCAGTTGATGACTCGGTTCACATTTCCACTTTAACTGTGTTTTGTGGTTTGTGGTTGTATCTGTTACTCCTTTTCTTGGTAATTCCCATAAAAAGGAACAGCATTTCCATTGTTTTAATATGATGGAGAAAAATACTTTTTCAATAAATTTTAATAATAATGCATTTCAAGTAGTCTTTTACATAATATTATCTTCATTTTCTCCTTGAAGAATGACCATATTGCCAAGTTTCTGCACAGCCCCTGAATAAGTTAGGATGTAGAGATCATGACCCACATCCCAAATAGCCGGAGAATGTCCAAACTGTACTTTTCTTAAAAAAGAGAAGTAAAAAAAAAAAAAAGAGTGGCTTTAATTTAGCCAGCATGGAGACACCTCTGTGCCATCATGCATGCAGAGTCACAGATGACTTCAGTGCTTGTCTTCAGGTGAAAAAAACTTGTTATTAAGTATTTTATTAAGTGAATAAATATTAAGTATTTAGTATTCTGCTCAGCAGCACAAGCTCCTAATATCTTCCTGAGGCTTTATAAAGCTAATAATTTTGAAGTAGAAAAAGTTTGTTTTGCAAATTACAGAGTTTAACTCTCTTGGTTAAAATATTTTGCCAGCTTATTAATAATTTATTTGTTGTGTTTAATTTTAAAAAACAAATTCAGGTTTATTGATTTATTAGCTTTTTGTGGCACTTTTCTCAGCATCTCCTATATATATCAGTCTTTTTGAAACTGCTGCATGGATTAACAGCTAATTTACTCTTCTGTGTTTTGTTTTTTTTTATTCTAGTATTCTCAAATGCGGGATGAAGTATTCAAATCAAACTTGGTGTGTGCATTTATTGTTCTTGTATTTATCACGGCTATCCAAAGCTTACTTCCTTCTTCCAGGTAAATACAGAAATATATCTCTATATATCTTTAGGCACTCTTGGGGAGACAGCAAGATAGCATTCCTAGGCTTGATGTGCAATGAACCAATAAAATCTACTTGTTCCCCAAAAGTGTTTGGTAATACTTTTTTGCAATATTAATGACTTTTGTGTCACATTTTCTGCAGCTACACGTTTTCAAGTAAGACAGCAGCATCTACTGTTATTATGTTATTGTCTTTTCAAGTAGAATGACCACTGAGATAAGTGGGAACTTTGAGTTACAAAAATTTGTCATAGTGTGTCCTGGTGAAACAGGATCCAGACTTATAACAGTGCCTCTCAGCTATGTGGCTGGTAACCACCTTGGGTATCAGTGATTCTTTTGATTTTGTTTCATACATGCTATGTAAGAAAATTGTACTCTTTGTTGCTGATAAAGTGTATTACCCAGCTGAGGGAAGGCAATCTTGTGCTATTAAGAAGCAAGCAGGTGATCTAGTAGATCTGTTTTCACTTGTTCTTTTCTCTGGGGCTCACCAAAGCAAGTTTCCTATCAAGGTGATGAAAATGTGACATAGATGAAACCCCTGTGTCCTCATTTCAGAGTCAAACCCATCAATTGGCACTTTTGTCTACTATTTAATAGTGACAAAAGTGTGTGCAAGGACTGAGGTCAGTTTTCTAGAACAGGACTGCCACTATAAACAAGTCTCTGGTCCCATTTGGTCTTTGATAGAGCAAGTGCTAAAATGGAAATGCCCAGATGAACATAATTCTCAGGTGGTTTCCAACACTCAGATGAACCTTAACTTACCACTGACCATAGAGTAACTTTAAAAATATTTGTATTAAGAAATGAGACATTTATTGTGATACAGTATTGCAGCAAGATTTCTGGAATCATCTCTGGAAGACCTGATTCACCAGGTTTATGCCTAAGAACACCAAAGTTGGTTAGGTGCAGGCAGACAACTACACTCTATAGCAGTGGCGTCCCATGTGTTTTGTAATTCTCAGCTAGAGAAAACACCCTGATCTTCTGCTGTTCCTTATGTGCTATGTTGCTCTGATACTAGTAAGTTTGCCTGCTTTTTTAAAGTTCTTCCAATACACATTCAAAATTCTTCACTTCTGGTAGCTGTTTTTGCTTGTTAGTTTTTTTGTTTGTTTGTTAATTTTTTCCTCAATAGGTACAAGAAGATTTATGGATCTGATTAATCTGATTTCCAAAAAGATTTCTGCTGCTATATCAATCAAAATACATTTTTTTATAACTGGATAGGTTCATCTCTGTTAATTCTGGTGCTTTTGTGTGTCTGGTGCCACTGGAATTAGGGGGGAAGGAGTCACACAGTCACACTGCCTGGTTTCCTATCTTGCCAGTAGTCTTTTGTCTGTGGACCTTTATGTTACTAAATGTTAAACAGGCTGTAAATGCAACTAGGTTGAAAGGAAGATTAGATAAATTCCTACCAGAAAAGATCAGCAGAGGTTTATAAACAAAAGTATGGCCTTGGCCTCAACGATGCCCTTACAGGTTGATTGCTGGAACCAGGGAAGATATTTAGGGAAAGGATATTTACCACTCTCCCTTTTGTGAAAGAAATTTTGGAGCCCTATGGGTGTTTTATGGCAGTCCTTATGTTCTGCCAGGAGCTGAAGATCACTGACAAGGCTTAAGAAAGCAAATTTTTGGTCTTGATTTTTCAAATTCTGATACTCTGCTTCAAAAAATATGTTTCAGTTTTTAAAAAGCATGCCTGTCAACAGATGAGCAACCCTAAAATAGCAGGATAGGAGTTTCGAATGAGAAGGTTTCAATATACTTAAACATATTGAATGAGAAAATAATGTGGAAGTTCAAATTTCCTAAGTTCCAGTTCTAAAAGCAATTCAAGGTATGAACAAATGAACCAACTAGCAGAAAGTAAGACAAGATTTGGATTCAGAGAGTCTTTCAGATAACTGCATGATCATATGTTATACCTCTGCCAGATATCAGTGAAGTAAAGTAGTATGGAAATAATTTCTATGAAACAACTAACTATAATTCACATGTAAGAGTTTTTCAGTGAATGCTTCAGATTTCTGTTGAACAAGGATGAAATTTTGTATTTGCTTAAGTAGATGTGAGAATATTTCTTTGAGCTGAGTCTTTTGGCGATTTCTGAAAATTTGGTGAAAGAAAACATTATTTAAATCATCATAAAACATATCTTATTAAAGTTCTTCAGGTAGTTTCCCAGGTAGCTTGTCTCAGTCTGTGTGTTAAAGAAGGGAATCACATTTCAACAGAAGGAAATCTACTCTGTATGGGAGTTTCAGAATTTTATCTCAGCTTACATATATCTCTCTGAGGATAAACATTTGATCCATTTGTACTTTTTCGCTGACAGGGCAGACACATCACTGAATTTAAAAATCTTTACAATAGTTTTCATTCTTTGAAATATTGAGTTGGGTAAATTACTCTAAGTGAGATAAATTAATGCCATATTTCTACTCTAATTATCCTCTATAAAACCATTATGTTAAATTGCCAACCTTGCAGTGATTCATCTGCTCCATCTGAGAGGCCTGGGAGTTTCATTCATTTCCTGCAATGCACTTTTTATATGCTCATAAGGGCCATAGATCATACTAGAGTAGACTGCTGAACTACTCTTATTTCTGTCAGTTTTTTACTGGGTTATTCTTGTGAGGGGAGGAGAAACACACTTTAAACTGCTGTTCATTTAAACACCTGCATCGTCTGCTTTACATAATTTTTCCTTCTAGTTCAAGTCTTGATTTAAGACTGTACATGAAGAGGGAAGGCAAAAGCTCATTTCAAACTTCACTTATCCTGGCAATAAGGGAACCCCTAAAAAGAAAACCATTTGGTCTTGAATCTCATCTTGAATGAAGGGGGAATCCAACCCAGGTGTCCTAGTTCTGATAGAAGTTCACGGACAGAAGAGTATTATGGTTTTTTGTTCCAATTCCTCTAATCTTGTCTAAATGTTCTGCAGTACTTGATCCTATCAGCATACTGCCAATATCTTTGCACAGATACTGGATTGGTCATCTAGGAGGTCACAGTGTGCCAACTTCAGTTTTGTCTTTACATCGAGCAGGCTTAAACAAGAGACAAAAACATTAATCTTCCATTGAACAGCTACAGTGGAAGAATTCTTGTTGCCTATCTATTTATTGTGAACAAATAAAAGGCCACAGTTTCTCAAGCATCTGAAGTATTTACACTGAATTTCAGATTTATATCCCAGATTTAGGTCTGTAGATGTACAGACCTAAATGTACAGTAGATGTACAGTACCTTAATTCAAAAGCATGGCTCTTACATATAGAGTTGGGCAATCTAAGAGAAGAACTCATGTTTAGTGTCCTCAGGCCTGACCTCTTGAGGCTTGATCCTAATCTTTTTCAAGGCCTTACTTTGGTTTCATTTAGAGTTCGGTCAGGCTAGGTCAGCAGAACTGGTAAGCTACATCTGCATATGTAGACTCTCTATATACATCTCAGATATAGTTAGAAACTATCAGTTCCAAATCAGTTCTCAGTCATCTGGCTTTGTAAAGCAGGAAGGCTGTTGCAAAATGCTGCTGTACCGTGGGAGACTGAAGGAATTGATCTCACATCACTGTCTGTCAGTGCAGTGTCTATAACCCGGGTTCAAAGAATAGCCACTGGAGAATGGGTCAAACAGAGTCAAAATGTCTTCTATCTGCATAAATCTAAGAGACTGCTGTGCACTGAGGTGAATTGTAATCTAAACTACACGGCTCTCTTGTTGAGCTCTCTTGACTCCCTTGACTAGTTCTCCATGAACATATTGTCCAACTTTTCTCTGGATTCATTGGCTGACATTCCCTCATCTTTCAGAGGGCTGTAGCACCTCCCTGTTAAGACAGGCTGAGACAGTTGGGGTTGTTCAGCCTGGAGAAGATTCCAGGGAGGCCCTTCAGGACCTTCCAGTACCCATAAGAAAGGGACTTTTTACAAGGGCATGTAGCGATAGGACAAGGGGGGATGGCTTCAAACTGAAAGAAGGCAGAATTAGATTGGATATTAGGAATAAATTCTTTACTGTGAGGGTGATGAGGCATGGGAACAGGTTTCCCAGAGAGGTTGTGGATCTCCCATCCTTATAAATGTTCACGGCCAGGCTGGATGGAGCTTTGAGCAACCTGGTCTAGTGGTCCTTGACCACAGCAGGGGAGTTGGAACTAAATGATCTTGAAGGTCCCTTCCAACCCAAACCATTCTATACGATTCCTGTGTATTTTCATAGTCAGAAGCTGCTCTCAAGACATCACTGCATTGTGTCTCTTTTTGGTAACTTTGGAACTTTCAGCATGTCCTGAGAATCTTCCCGCAAAACTTTTAGTTGCATGTGATGAAATCTGTTTCTCCTGCTCCAAACTTTGTTTCTTCATTCTTCACTCTTTCTTTTATAATACAGTTTGGTTTTGCTGCATATGTTGTTCCTTCTCTCAAAAGCAAACTTTACTTCCAGGTAAGCTGCTGGAGAACATGGGACATTTTAGGGAGCAACTGGAGTGTCCTGTATTCAAATCACACATAAAACTTTGACAAATCTTGTTGGAGTGAAATGCTGACCCAAGTGAAGAAAACTTTTCATACCAATGGTAGATCATCAGAACAGCGTCAAAGTTAATATTACCACATGGAAGCTCTCAATAAAAGTTAATGTGTAATTCATCTAATTTCAATTAATCTGGGAACAGAAGTTCCATATTGATATTTTTCACATTTTATTTCAATATGTTTAAAATATAGTTTAGTACTATGAAAAAATATATTTTTATCCATATATATCTTACTTATGGCAGTTCAGACATTTTCCAAATGAAAAACCCTCTGTTAGCAATAGACTTGTTTTCTATCTGTTATCTTTCTAACATATTTTCTTTTCTGGACTCCTACATTACAAATCTCATTTGTTCTGATGTTTTGAGAGTAGCTATACATATAAGCCATAGCTACATTACTGTAAATTATTTTGAGTCTTGCATTTTGTTTACAAAATCTTATATTTTGATCATAGTTCTGTGTTAGCTTGATTAATTTTAGCAGGTGATAGACAAAAACATTTGGAGCAAATTGCATATTATTCCACCCTGACACTTTAAAGGAGGCATTGTCTGTTTGGACTATCAGAAAGGAATCATTTTTAAGCAAACATTGGTTGGTCTTTAAGACCAACAGATTAAATGTACCTGAATTTCTATAATAACAGCTGAATTAGGACATTAAAAATCAGAACATTCTTTTAAAGTTAATGTTCAAAATTAAGCAGGCTAACATATACAGGAGTACAGTTCTGCACTTAAATCTCATTTTGACAAATATGCCTCCTATGTTATTTTTCTCCCAACATGACCAACATTTCCCCATATATGCACTGACTTATGTCTACTTTTTAAAAAAAAAAAGTTGCTTTTGAATATAAAAATTTTAATTTTGCCTGTTTTCTCAAGTTATTTTCTACTAACATCAGTACTGTGAGGAAGATGTAATCACAGTTTTCACATAAAATACCCAGTGCAACTTTGGTGTCTCCTTAGTGCAAATATTTTGTATTAGTTGTAAACATGGCCAGAGCTAAGAAATGCCAGTTCCAACACAGATTTATTCTCAAACTTGTCCTGCTATGTCCATGTATCCTCTCCTGCCATTAAATCAATCTGGTTTCCTTTTCTCCTTGGCCACATATCTATTACTCTATGGTGAAACTTTATAGAGTGAAAGCTGAAGTTAAAAGGCTCAAACCACAGATCTGAATTCTGATCTGTATGAGTTTAGAATTTTCTCTTCTAACCCCAAATTCGAATATCCTGAAATTAAGGAGAGTTTCAGGTATTTTGAGATAAAGTCTATTCAGTTTTGGGGAGTGGACCTGACTGACCTACTGAAAAATGACAAAAGAGCTGTGTTGATGTTTTCACTTCTATTTCCACTTTATACGCCTAAATTTGTCTTACTGTAGGGCACAAGTGTACAAATAGCTTTACACCCTACTCAAAGAGAAGAGGGATAGGTGATCTGTAGCAAAATCTAAAACTTCATGTTTTCAGTAAGACAAAACACTTTTACAGAAGTATTAATGAGAGAGTACAGCCTGGAAGTGCAGAAGTCTCTCTGGAGCACCCTGATAGTCCACTTTCAAAGACTTTTTTCTGTGAGACATTGTGATTAAATCACTGTAGAGTACTGGCACATACAATTAGGTTACTAGAAATTTTAATTACTTAATTCAAAGCCTCAAGGTTAATCATTCTCCTTATAGCAAAAACGCCAGGAAAAGTGGAGTGAGGAGGGGAGAGGTTTGTAGGAGCAGTGGAGTTACTTTTATTTTGCATGGATTTGATCTTTGGGAAAAGAGACGAAGAAAGACAGTGACTGGCACAAATGGGACACAGAAAATTGTGAAGTGCTGAGTGCTTTCTACTCAGCAAAGTAAAACAATTTACTGCATTTCCCAACCACGTAGGATACTTGATTGACTTCAGGTCCCATATTTAGGCAAGAAAAAGGAATAAATTTAGAAAAATAAAATGACGGTTAGGTTGGAAGATATTATTGGGTTTAATGGTACGTTCAAAGACATTGAACTATTTTGCATATGCACTTATCAATTCTTGATTAAAGATCACATATACAAGAACAAAGTTTATAAGGTATGCCAAACAACAGGTTTTATTTAAACACTTGGATTATAGAATACTTTTTCATATGCTTTGTATTTTGAAAGGCTACCATGAAAACAGTAGATGAGTTCTTTTGCTTTTTTTGGAAACCAATGAGATTCTTATCTGCAGTTGACCCATTATTAATTAAAATTAGAAGAATCTTGCATTTCTGTAATTATTATATCCTAACTTACTCCAGAAAACAGGCTGCATTACTGTACTCATGTTAGAGAATATGACCCTCAGTACAGTATGAGTTTAAGAGACCTATGATGTGATGCATAGAAAACAATACTATACTAAACTGCCTCCAAACTAGTCTGAGCGGAACCAGATCATACAAATGTGGCATCAGGATCCTACAGGCTCAATAGAACTGCTCTGAAAAAAACTTAAGAGACAACTGTGTACCAAAAGAAAGAACATTCCTGACATTTGGACTCTACATAGACACATATAGGCACTGGCAATGATTTATTTCCCTGGCTTGTTTGTCCAACAGCAGTTTCTCAGCAAGAAACCATGTGAAGTAAAGGCAACATGAACAGAAGTTTGTTCTCTCTGGGTTTTTTTCTGAGACTAATTGTCTCAGATTCATGACAACCGATATTTCCTAGTCTTACCTGTTTACACATTTATTTTTATTAGCAGTAGCATTGTGTTGAGGTTTAATGCTGGATTCTTTTTTTTTTCCTAGGGTGATACCCATGGTCATTCAGTTTTCTATTCTGATAATGCTGCACTCCGCTCTTGTGCTGATCACCACAGCAGAGGATTACAAATGTTTACCCTTAATGCTCCGGAAAACTTGCTGCTGGATTAATGAGACCTACCTGGCAAGGAATGTCATTATATTTGCATCCATTCTGATTAATTTTCTTGGAGCCATCATCAATATTGTAAGCTTACAGGGAACCAAGGAATATTATACAGGAAAAGATGATTTATGAATTATTAAGTTTGCTATAGGACTTGTTAACTAATGTGTCTATAAGCCAGCTATGATTTAGATAATAAAAAAATGGCAAAGTATCACAGCTTCAGGAAATTCAATCCATTGTTTAACCTATGTATTTCTGAAATATTTAATTATTTCTCCCTCATGAGGATCATCTATTTTTAAAACCTTTTTTCTACTTTCTATCCACTCCTGTGAACCATTTGCAATTTTCTGGCATTCTGTTATACTTTTTAAAGACTGTCAAGTAATGCTTATGGTTATTAAATTCCTCTTCTCAGAAGTTTTCAGATTATCTCACAGTTCTCCCATTAATTAGATTACTAAAAGAAAAATTAAAACAATTACTAAAATAATAATTTAAAAAACTCCAATAGAGCCCTGATTATCCTGATGTATTCAGCAACAAGAGAGATCTTTGCATAAATTAGGCAGATTATAATGTCAGACAACCTGGCAGGTGCTGATATCTGAGCCAAGAATGTGGTAAATGTCTCACTGATAGATTAAAAGTAACATTTTCATCACTCTTTCCTCTTGTTGGGCATCTTCTGGTTATGGATGTAGCCGTGCTTTTTCATCTGAACATTATTCTTTATAAATATTTCATTCCTTCTAAATGAGACCAGGAATGCATTTAGTGACAGTAATAACAGTAGCAACTCGGACAACACAACAGCAACAATAATTATCCTAACATAATAAAAAATAATTATTATTATATCATTGGAGTAAGTATGATGAGGTCTGATATTTCAGAGGTTTGCCTTGGCTTTTACTAACAGGCATGAGATTTTATTATGCTCTAGTGTCGTCATTTTTCCACAATTTAATTCAGGTGGCCAATATGTGAGGACTCAGTAGCTGTCTGTGTTCTTTAGTGATGCCATGCAGTCACTGATAGGAGAGTTAGTCAGAGAGAGAAGAATGCAGCCACTGATTTCTGGCCTTACAGAGAAAATATAACTACGGTAAAGACAGGAAGTTCAGTGGGGCTGAAAACTTCCTGTAGACAAGCGCGGTGGTACATTACAGTAAAGATCACTAAGGAGTGTTATAGAATTTAGAGGTTTTTAAATCATATTTTAACACATATTTTCCAGGAAAGGTTTTGGTAGAATTAATCTTACTGTTGAAACAAGGTGATCTCTAACAGACCAATATGCTATGGATACGTGATAACAAGATTTTCCCTTGATTTGTGGGGTTTTTTTAAGATTGTGCAATCTTCTGGGATGCCTAACCCAAAAACAGTCAAAAGAAAAGTAATAGTTTTTACTGCCATACCAGGGGGTTTCTATAAAGCAGTAAACAGTTACATTTATTGTCATATATTTAGACCGTCAATGACTTGAGCCACTGAGTCCCGACCTCCACAGGAAATCACAACATTCTTATAACCTCATTAGTTTAATAAGTCAAAATTCTGCTATAATAATGTCTTTTTTTTCTGGAGGGACATGCATGTATTTAAGAATAGGTAATGCACCTCAGCCTTGCAGCTGCCTGTGTCCACTGAGTTCAATTGCAGCTGGTTGGAGGGGTCAAAGACTCAGAAGCTTTCTAGTGGGAGCCATAAGGCTTTGGTTTTACCAGGGGAGCAATGAATCTTGCAGTTCTTTACATCAAGTGCATTCTTATTGTTATAAAATTGAAATAAAGTTTCTGACCAAGAAAGGTTTTTAAAAAAACACCTGTAGTGGTTCTGATGATACTCTGCCCTGCAGAGAGGTGCTGTGCACCTCATAAACTGTCAGAAGGTACCATTAGCTATCCAGTGTCACGGAAGATTGCACAGCCAGCCTAGGTAATAATACTGTATTGTAGAGGTGACTGAACTGCTGAAAGAACAAACAAAATAGTTCCAAGTTCAAAATTAGTTAGAATTTAATTATAAGAAATTGACCCTCATTAAGCAAATTCTCTAGTTGTGTTGGAAAAAAAAGACCAGTGATCTAGCTTGCACATACCAGGTTGATGAAATGACCTAGTATAAACATCCAGATTGGATTAATATATGTAACAGGAGACTCCATCTGCTTTAACAGTCAAAATATGACACGATTAATGATTTTTTTCCTGTGTTCTAAGACTGTACTGCGTTGCAGCTCAACACTGATATTTTGTTTATGTTTAATACACTGTGTTGGAAGTACCATTAAAATGAATGCAGGTCATAACAGCAAAAGGCAGTATTGTATTATCAAACCATTGAATCATGAATGATTTCATTCCCTTCCATTCTAAGCATCTCAGTTGCTGTTCTGGAACCACATTATGTTTTGGTACAACCGATTCTGCATCATGCCATAGAAATGAAGGATAGATGTCCCACATCCAGAAGGATAACATAGCAATGTAGCAGAAGAAAACTGCTTGCAGACAAGGGCACTCATGCAATTTGATTTTATGCTCCCAATTAAATAATTTCACTGTAGTTTATGGCAAAGTCTAAGTATTTTGAGAGAGTAATTTTTAAGAGCCCAACATCAGTTCTCTGAAAGTCCCAGTGGAGCTTATCTTTCCACTTGGCAAGAGAGCATAGGGATGCTATTCAGATACCGAATGTCTGTAGCATGAATAGCTCCCCCCCTCCATTTCACTGCCACAGTATGTCTTCTTATTGTCCATTTAGCCAGTCCTTGGTGCCAGTCAGGGAGCTGGCATGAAGAGCAGTAGGTCAGCCAGTTCCATCCCTGAACCCAGCCAGCCACAAAAGCAATTAGTAACCAGTGCATGTTATAGCCCTGATTTTGTTTTATTTCTTCACAGCTATGGTGTGATTTTGACAAACCAATAGCCCTGAAGAACCAGACGTTCAATTCATCTGCTTCTTTTACGGACATCTGTTCCTGTCCTGAGGTATTTCTGAGGGTACCTTTGAATCTGAGGCATGGATCCACAAAGGTTATATGGCAACCCTTATCTGGAATGAGTGATGTGTACTGCTGGTGGAGTCAGGGGCCTCAACGCTGTGAAGCTGAACATTTCCATCTATCCACATGCTGATAGCAAAAGCAGAGGCTGGTTACAGAAGGAGTTAATCTTATGATCTAATGGGGCATTACAACCAAGATTCAACCTTTGAACTTCAAACAGAACCTTTATGCTGGAAATACATTCAGCAATTCAATTGCAATAAAACACAGTACCAAAGTTGTATGAATCTAATGGAGAGCAACATTTCTCACATGGCAAACCCAACAGTCAGTCTGCTGCGGTTATTTAAGTTTGCTTTAGGAGCAAAAAAAAGTAATCATCTCTAAGATGAGCAAGCAGGCAACAAAATGAATGGATTAGTCATGTGTAGATAAGAGAAGTATGTTACTTAGAAAGTCATATGGCAGTGTCATGATACTGCCAGCAGTATGCTCTAAACAGCAGGGATGCAGACTTTCCTACAGAGGAACTGTACTAAAGAAAAACTGTACTCAGAAAAATGAATACTATCTCTCCTAAAGCTGTGTGATAGGAGGTAATTTAAACTACATTTGGGCTGTGGGTGGTGATGTTGCTATTTTAAATCTGAACAGCTCATGACCATGATTGTCTCTCTTTATCCAGTATCAGCTGCATGGATTGCATTTGACAGATGACTAATCATTGAGAAAGAATGAGACAATTAAGAGATTAGAAAACGAGATATGAGTAAAACTTCCAGGCATTTTAAGAGAGTAAAATAACCAAGCTAAACATGCAATATTTAATATTAAAAAAACCCACAAAAAAAAACCCCAAAAAACAAAACAACCAAATCTGTGGCTTTTTGTACTCTTCAAGAAGCATGGGAAAAGAATTAAAGCAGGAATATGATTCTCCCATCCTGATTAATGTGGGTCTTGTGGAAGTTCAGAATACAGTCAGAATATAGAGGAATATAAATTTCTTTCTCTCTGTTGACTTTTCATTATGAAACTACTGCATGCAGCATCTGTCCTTTTCCTCTTTTAATTATGGAGAATGCCATTTCCCCATAATTAAATGAAAATGCCATAAAGGCACAGAGAAGGATTTCTGTTGACATGGAGGTGCCATGCAAAATAGAGAATTTGTAATTTCACATTCTATTTTAGCAAAACCCTTATTTTCAAAGTGCCCTGGACCCTGAGAGTACCTAGCTGAGCAATGAAATACAAAGCAATTTTTCTATACTTCATATCACTTAATTATTTATGTAGATACTTATGAAAATATATAGTCACTGATCACCAAAAGTAAACAGTGTTGTTTTCTGTTCAGTATTTTGTCTTCACTGGTGTGCTGGCAATGGTGACTTGTGCAGTCTTTCTCCGTCTCAACTCTGTCCTGAAGCTGGCAGTGCTTCTCATCATGATTGCGATCTATTCTCTGCTGACTGAGACCATTTATGCCTCCCTTTTTCTGCAATATGACAACTTTAACCACAATGGAGAGTAAGTGTTCACAGCTCCCTTTAGGAACTGCTTTTTCACAAGGCAATGGCTCAAGTCTTGCCAGAGTATATGTGTACTGGGTAGCCCCATATTAAATATGGAGTGATGGTCGCAAGAGGAAATGACTAATTCAAAATGATTTATAATGTGATTCTTTCTCATGCCTTTTTATTAAAATGTTCATTTCATGAGGACATTTAAATATTGAACAGGGTTTGTCTTTTATGTTTCCTATAGTCTATCAATGCTGATTAAAAATACATATTGCAGTGCATACACATTGGTTGCTTCTACTCTTGAAAGCTCCAGAGATACTGATAAAAACTTTCACTTCAATTTAAGCAAATGGGAGTGAACAATTGATTTTTTAGGGGGCAGGGGCTTAATAGAATAAAAGCCAATCTATAATGTGCAGTTGTGAAAGATATAAGGAACACAGGGATGATTCTGTTTTGTAGGAGAGTGTTTGAAGGACAGATTCCTCCTTCCAGGCTTCCTTCCCAGCAAGAGGAGTTGAAGAGGAGAACAGAAGAGACACAATAATTTGCAGAGTTAGAGGTGCAATAAGTGTTGCAATAACTGAATCTAGAGCAGCAGTGATTTAGGTCATTCAGAGACACTTCTTCAGTCTTTGATACTTGACCAGTTTAGTATTGCAGTTGCTTGTGCTTGTAAGTGCGTGCCAGACGAAGATCCTCAGAACGGCAGAAAAGCATGGATTTGTGCAATTAGTTCTCACAACAGCCACATCTTTACACAGAGTAATGCTCTGCATGCATATATTTCCCGACTAGCTTCTGACAGTAGCGACGTACTAAAAATTTGGTGTTGCAGTTCCTTTTTCTAATGCTAGTTATCCTTCTACAGACATATTACATATTCACAGCAGACCCCAGCTAATTATGACAAATGGCAACAAACAATATTTTGGCTAAGTTACTAGAAGTAGAAATCATGATAATTGTCCTTAATCAGGAACACATTTTTGTGTGAAAATCTAGGAGAATTCAGAGCAGTCTCTATTCTCTGTGTCAGCGAAACTCTCCAGTGACTGTTACATAGAAGAGTAAGAGACAGGAATATCCTCTGGAGTAGCCAACAGCCCAGAGTACAGGGAAATCAGTTGAGATGCTCCACTCTCAAGTCAAGGATGTGAACTTCAGCTCTGACATTAGGGAGCATGAGGTTCAAGGCTGTGTGCCCAGAAACTTCTTTTTTTATTCTATACCAATCAGTTGAATAAAGGGGATTGCAACTCCCTCCAAAACTCATTTAGCTGTTGTGGTTAAAGCTACATCACCACAACATGCCATAACAGGAAAGTTCATCACTAAGACCTTTAAGGTTGTTACCTTTAGCCACTGTACAAGGGGTCTTTTTGGAACGTATTCTTTTTGAGGTTGTATTTCAGGCAACTTCAAAATGGGAAACATTTGAATTCCAACATATTTGCAGATGACAAGGATGTTTCCTGCTTGTCTTTTGCTCTATACTGATGACTCAGCAGCAATTTCCTCACAGTAAATTCTTCATTAGGACCATAAAGTCAGTTCAGTTAGCTCTCTAGCAAGAAAGTTTCCTTTTGGTTTAGTCTCCATCAAGTTCTGCTCTTTCTCTCTTTTATTTCTCTGTCATAGGAGTCGTTCTCTGACAAATATCACCTGATACTTTTTTTCAAAATTACTATGAAAAATGGATTCAGAGTCTGGAGTTTGTTTTTTTCTTAAATCTCAAGGTAGACTAAAGAGTGTCCCAAAGTGTCTTCCAACTTCTGGTTCTCATTTACTTATTTATTAACTTTTTTCAAGTATTTGGGCTTTAAGTACTTCTTAACAATTTCCTCATTTTTTCTCAACTCTCTTCAACAAAGTAATTGCCAAGTATCCATGTTCAATTTTCCTCCAAATTTATTTCTTTATCCTTATTTTTACTATAAGGTTGGATCTACCATTTTCCAATCCTCTTCATTTATATCTCTTCCCATGGGAAACATGCTTTTTAAAAAAAAAATTACATACAGAGATATTTTCTTCATTTTTTTTATCTGTAATTTCTCTCCATATTTATTTGGAAGCCCCTGTTACTGCTTTGAACCCCTTTCACCTCTTTCACCGTATTTTGTCACACTTTCTTCATGCTCCACACAGAGCACCTAAGTGACTTCATACAGATTTCATGCAGCCAGTACCTTCCTGGCACATCTTCTTTGCTTCCCCACAGTCTGCAAAGGTTTCCTTTACTTCCCCTGTCACAGGCAGACAGCTCTTCTCTGCTCTCCTCTTTGTGGCTCAGTAAAACCAGTCCTAACTACTGATTCCAAATGTTTTGATTCCCTTTTAAGCCACACTTCCTTCCTGTCATCTTTCTCACAATGTTTAATTTCATCTCCTGCCTTGGGGTTCATCTTTTATCTCTAGGCTCATTTCCTGGGCTTTTACTTTCACAATCTGGAAGTTTCCCTTACCCAGCTTCAGCCTCAACCTTTCCCTGCCAAGATCCTACCTCCTGCACTCCACAGGGGCTGTGGTGTTCATGGCTCCCAGGGAGAGACTGACTGACACACAGCTTGCACATCACGTTTGAAAGAGAAAGCTCATCACCTTCTGTGTACCTCCTGTAGGCTACAGTTTAGTTATTTAAGGCATGTGTCTCCAAACAGTGAGCACTCCAGTTACACTCCTTTTCTCTTGAACTAATTACAGCTAAATTAAATTTTCAAATACAGGGGATTCTTTTAAAGAACAACAAAAATTGTCATACTGACTTATGAAATGAAAATTCTGAACAATTACAGCACTGACAAATCAATAACTGTATTTTACTTTGGATTTTTTTTTTCCAGCACAGACTTCCTGGGTACAAAGGAGGCATCTTTACTCCTGATGGCAATGTTCCTTTTAGCTGTATTCTATCATGGTCAACAGGTAATGCAAACATTTGCTTTAACCATTCTCTCTATCCCTTGCAATTACAGGATGTGACAATAATTACTTTCAAAATACCAACTGCCTTTTTATCCACTTGAGCAGATGACCTTTCACAATTTAATAAACCATATGCAGGATCTGATTAAAGAAAGACCACATCTGACACTGCCTACCAGTTTTAAAGAACATGTGCAATATTATATTCAACAATACACAAGTTATATTGCATTTCATAATAGAAATTGAAGGAAGAAATGGGATGTCATTTATTTTAGATGTGTAATTCTGGAGGCACCTGACAGTTTCAGTGCACATGAGTAGGCATAAAACCAGAATACAGAAAGGGATTAATAAACAGTAAATAATGAAACTCCTGTGAAATAGTTTAGTATGTTTATAAAGAAAAAGCAATAGACTTGAGGAACTAAATAAAATTTGAGTTAAGCACCAATACTAACTACTTCATGCCATGGACCACTTGCAAGAATCCTTTCACATGCACCTAGACTATAATCAGGATTTGGGGATGTTGGACCTTTAGGACTGATATCCTTGAGGAGGAACTGAAAAACTGGGTATATCAGGAATCCATACACAGTACACAGGGAGAGTGAATTATGAAAAATTTAGATTTAAAATAAAAAATGCATTGAGTAAAAACCAGCTAAAGCAGAGTGTTTTCTTCACAGCTCTCAAGCTCTGGGCTGCTGAATGTCAAACATGCTGACTTGAGGCAGTTTCTGTTCACATAAAGCAAACAGGACCATTGTATTAAAGCAAGTAGTAAACTTTTAGACGTTGTCCAACTTGCCTAAAGATTTTCCCCTCAAGAGCATTAGGTTGATTAATACTAACATTTCTCAATCCTCCTGGAGTGAGGCAGTAAGAAAGGAATAATTCTGTGATGAATAAGACAATATTATAAGCTTTATTACAACAACTTTGTAAGTTGTGTCAGGACTTACGGCCTCCATTTCTTCCACAGGAGAACAAAAAGAAGGCAACACCTAAATATTCTAGTAATTTCCCTCCTTTTTATCTTCTTTTTGAGGGAATGAGGAATGAGCGGGTAGCAGAAGCAAGGGATTAAATGCTTTTCGTGCCCAGATTTAAATTTGACAGAAAGAAATGTACTGTGACATTTCTTAAACAAGACATAAAGTCCACTTGGGAAAAATATGGAGAAAATTAGAACTGAACATCCCAAATTTGTGATAAGCCTTATAATATTCGCAGTGATTCTTACCATATGCCAAGATACAAATCTCAAGCTTGGGAATCAGCTTAAGTACCAAGAAAGGCAACACCAGAGGAGTTTAGGTAGAAAAAGAATTAGGCAGAATCCAGGCAATACTCTTCAGGATCACAACTCTGGGTGTAAACATCTGTCTTCTACAAAAGCCTGATCTGGGGTGTTTTAGAGTATTTTTCAGCCCAGAGGTCTGTAAGCAGAGTACAGGTTCTTTTCCATTCAATTAATCTTTCTTATTCTATAAAACAGGGTGGCTGCCCTAAAACTGCCCTTGGAAATAGTCCCTGAGATGTGCTAATTCCTTCATGTTCTCCCAAACCATTCATAAGGCCACTCTATCAATTTAACAGTATCCAACAGCAGTGTCCAGGAAATTTCCATGTACTGTTAAATTTCTTATTAACGAGTCAACCTAAAGGTCTCTGTATAGTTACTAAATAGTTATTAAATGCATATATAAAAATTACTTCCAGAACACATTAAAAAACCTCAACACTTCAATAGCGTGAACTGAGGAGCACAGTAAGTCCAATAAAGCTGTGCTCCAGCACAGCTTTGCATCTCACAAACTGCAAAAGTATTCTGAAGTAGAATAGTTTAAAACTTGCCTCATTCTAGGTGGATCTACCAAAAAAGATCCTTTTTGTAAGATTAAATTTATGGACATTCAATTTCTAAATAACTACCTATCGTTTTTTATCCATTGTGATTTAAAGTTTATCCCAACTTTTGCACCCAAAATCGAAAATTAAATTAGAGAAAAATGTGTGTGATATTAGCTTATTTGAGCTTTCTCAAAATCTGATCTGGATTTTAAGAATACTTTTAATAATTAAAAGTATTTGTGTTACTGTTAGATGCCATTATAGACTAATTCCCTATTAGAAATTCAGTTTCATCTGGAAGCACATCTTTTTTTAACACAAGTAATGCATAATTTACAGCAGCGCTTCTGAAAACTAAACTTGAGAAAAAACACCCAGAAGTGTTGTGGATAATTTTAAGGCTAGACCTAATCTGTTGTAAAATGTGTTCATTTACTGCTTTGTCTTTTTAATGAGTTAAAGTAGAATACTTTGTGGGAATATAAATTATGCCTTGAAATCTTATCAAACTACAATACCATATACAGTCTTCTCTACTAGAATTTCACCCCTAGTGAAAACACACAACATAAAAAGTTTAACCCTGAGCAAAACTTTCTACCACAGCTTTAAAAGAGGAGGTTTTAACAATTGGAAAGAGGGAATAAAACTATCCACAGAAGACTCAGTCCTTCCTCTCCTTCCACCCCAGTCAGAACTAAAAAAAGGCCTTTTGAAAGAGAGGGCAAAATCTTCTCTGGTTTCTTTTAGATTGCAGATCTGAGCATAGATCTTGCCTACACCAGCTGAGTGTTCTGGTGTAGGCAAGTGTTGACTGACTAACTGACTGGTTTGCTCCCATTTCTGGGGCTCTTTGGTACAGAGACATGAACTTTGCCAGGGCAGGCACAGACAGCTCTGTACCCAATAAACACTGGATGTCAGGGCTGTATCTTAACTCTGTAGACCCTTGTGGGGGGAGCCCTGGCTGCCAGGACCTGCCTGCAGCACATGGGCAGGACCCCTGGCTGCTGGGACGTCCCCGCACCGTGTGAGGGGGGGCCCGGGCTGCCAGGACCTGCCCCCTGGTGCGGCCATGGCAGGAGAAAGGAAAGGAGAGAAAAGGGGAGCCTTGCCGACGGGTACTGCCCCCCCAAGAAAGAGGAGAGGGGAGCTTCGGAGCACACAGAGGTTTGCCATTCCAGGTTTGGGGGGGAAGGGCTGCGGAGGATGCGGAGTGGGGGGAAGGATTGGGGAAAGGTGTCGAGTGGGCTGAGGGGGTCCTCCGACTGGCAGGAGGTAGAGCGGGACAATCCCGTATGAAATGTCACAGGTGAGCAGTGCGCCTGAAGATATGTGGTAACGCAGTGGTGGAAGGATAAGGTCAGGGTGGATAGTGGGTCCTTTCGGAGTGATGGGGGTCCTGGTCAGGCTGGGGCCTTGAAAGGCACCCCCGCCCTGGATGGGTACGGGGGCCAGAACGGTTGGCTTGTTTGCTTGTCTGTTTGGTTTTGGTTCACCTGTGGCTACTGCCCAGGTTCGGCATGTTCTGAATATATTTGCTTCGCTCTGTTACATCCTGTAATGGTAGACAGGACAAAGGGTTGTTCCTGGGTATCTCCTTCAGATTGTTCATAGACAGGTGATAGGAAAGTAGGAAATGTAAGACTTGCCCAAATCGTTCTAACAGGAACGTAGCCTGTGTACCCCTATGTGGTTGCAAGCTATGCTGGAGATGGTACATGCCTTCGGTAGGGCCGCCCGTGCCAGACAGGTCAAAACCGTAGGACCAGATTTAATACATTCTTGGGCAGGATGAGCTCGTTAGCCTTCTGGCAGTCATCCTAGGAGAAGGACAACTCTAATCTCAAAGCCAGGCAGATGGAGCTCGTTTAGCCCTGTAAGGCCATCCATCTAAGAGAAGGTCACTCTAATCAAACCTATGTCCTGAGGATCTCGCTGCCACCGTCCAAGCTCACTCGGCCCTGGCAGATGAACCTTAGGATTAAAGGGTGGGTTCAGTTCCGCGCATACTGCATCTCACCTAAAAAATCCATTGCGCAGGCTTGAAGGCTTTACCCACATGCAAAAAGTCCTGTAGTGACGGGCGAGGGTCAAAACAGCAGGTGAAAGGTGCACTGGGAGCCGCAGCCCCAACCCTGCATGCAGGCAGTTCAGGATATTGGTCATTTGAGACTGACCGGAGATGACAGTCTCTTGGGGCAGCACCCTGA